GTCGTCGCCGCCATCATCATCATCATCATCATCATCAATGACAGCAAATACCAGCATCATCACTGTCGGCTTCACAGTCTCCGCATCACATGCATCACCAGCAGCAGAAAAGCAACAAGTATTGGAAGCGTGTGGCAAGTTTTGCGCATCTCCCCAATACTAGGATAAACATACCATTTTCACTGAGACGCTGATCATGGTTTCGTCTGCTAGCAACGGGGTACCCAAGACAGGGCAAGAAACCGTCGGCAATTCGAATCACAAGACAAAATCCATGCACCTCTCATTTTCCTGTGAAGCAGACTCCTCTGCCGCCGAGGCGTTCTGGCAGAACAGGCCGAGGGTCGTGTGAGTGGTTCTCCGGTACTGTGTTCTGGGCCCAAGTCTTGTAAGATTTGAAGCACTTAAGGGGTATTCAACAGGATCCAGTAACAACGGAGGCGGCAAAAGAGAGCCTAAGTTAGCCTGCAGGCCCCATTGGATCAGTGTAGATTAAAAAACGCCGTCAAAAAAGCCGTGACCGGTGGTTTTCAGTACGATAACCAAACCAAAAAGCTACAGCTTGAACACAGGTGCTGCTTTCCCACAAGAGTCGCTGGCAAATCCGGACGGCGCCAGAAGCCAGGGATGTAGTGCCCCAGCCAGACGAGGGGTTCACCTTAGCCAAGAGAATCGGGTTTAGGGTTTAGGGTTTAGGGGTTTCGGGTGGAATCGGGTTTCAGGGTTTGGGGTTGTGGGATTTAGGGTTAAGCCTTTGGGGAGCGTTGGCTTCAGGGTTCAAGGCTTCAGGGTCTGTCGGTTTAGAGCTTAGGGTTACTTTGAGAGCTATGCATATGAGCTTGATTAGAAAAGTCCTGCACCCCAAAACCTGAAGCCCTCAGGCCTCAAGTTCAAAACCCTACGCCCTCAAACCCCAAGTCCTGCCGCCAATCCGTAAGGCCCTCATCTTTGAACCCTAAAACGCCCTAAGCCTCTTAAACCCCAGGCCGTGCACCCTCGAAAGCCCTGACATTTCAAACCTAAAACCCCGAGCTCTACATGCCCTCAAGCACAAATCCAAACCCTAAACCCTAAACCCAAACTCCACGCCCTAGATCCGAGGCCCCGAAAGTCCAAATCCTTCTAGCTCCAGGTTTGGTCCAATGCCTCCACTCCTTGGAAGCTCAGCCACCCTCGCACCATCGTCGCCAAGGCACAGTTGTACCACAAAAAGGCTGTTGGTTTAGGGTTTAGGGTTTAGGGTTTAGGGTTGGTTTGTAGTTACAGGGATCAGGTTTGGGTTTAGGGTCTGAGGGATGTGCGTCAAGTGCGTTGGGGGCTGGGTGTAGGGTCTGTCGGTGTGAAGTGTGGGGGGCTGGGCTTCTGTATAGGAGGCGATGACAGATGACATGAACTATGACTTGATCAGAGTCCTTGCCCCAACTTCTGTCCAGCTGCCGCCCAACATCTCACAACATGTTTGTGATTTAAACAGCAATGTATATATATATATATATATATGTATATATATATATATGTATATATATATATATACATGTATATATATATATATACATACATATATATTTGTATAGCAATATGTTTTCAAATGATAGTAATATCTGTATTTGCATAGTTTGCAGCCGCACCGGCCCTTCCGGTCAAGCCTTGTGCTTCATAGCAGGAGGAATTCATTCCTCAGCCTCAGCCCATTTAATGACCAACTCGCCCGCTTTAAAGGGAACCCACCAGAGGCGAGCCTTCTAGCAGCTGTGATCATTTGAATCTTGGCTTGGGTCTAGGGCTTAGGGTTTAGGGTTCAGGGACATGTTCGACTGTCGCGGCTATCGACCAAAATCGTCACACCCTAAACCCTAAACCCTAAACCCTAAACCCTAAACCCTAAACCCTAAACCCTAAACCCTAAACCCTAAACCCTAACCCGTGTTTGAACCGCGGCGCAGGTGGTTTGCCTGGTGGGCGTTCTTTTCTGGTCTCTGCCGGCTCCCGGGGCTAAAAGCATCTTGCGGGTAGCTGGGTTAGGCCAGAGGCTTAAGCTTGAAACACCTAAATTAGGGTTTAGGGTTTAGGGTTCCCTAAATCCTAGAAACCCTAGACCCGATTGGGATTTCGGTTTAGGGTTTAGGGTTCCCTAAATCCTAGAAACCCTAGACCCGATTGGGATTTCAGGCTCTGGGCTTTCTGGTTTCAGGTCTCGTGCAGGCTCTGAGGCTTTGGGCTTTCAAGGAGCCCTTTCTTTCGGATGGATCTAGATGTTTCGTTCGGTTTAGGGTTTAGGGTTTAGGGTTTAGGGGTTTACGATTTCTCTCATTGCAACTGTCAGGACTACTATCGTTGTTCGTAGCCTTACTAGTATGTGTCCTGCTCATGAGAGAAGGTGTAGTTGCCGAAGAGAAGGGACATGATATACGTGACGCTCACCAGAGATCTATGTGTACGGATTGTTGGACATCTATGGTCCATCCCATGGTCTTCCAAGGAATGACTTGGGTACCCTGCTGGAAAGCCCTGCTACCTAACCCTCTCGAAGCAGCTGGCCTTTCCGTTGGACCTCGAACAAGCTGACCGAAAATGGCCATCCTGAAAAGGAAACAGCTCTAGATCCTTGGGCACACATCCGCCAAAACCTAAGACCCCCAAGCCCAAAAGCGAGAGAATCCGAAGTGTCACAAGGCTTCCAATCAAAGACCACAATTAGTCAATGTCTTTTCCTTTAGGCCGGGACAAGGCACATCAGAGTTAAGCTTACTGTAGGGCCTGTAGGGCAAAGCACGTACGGTGCCTACAGGGCTCATATTCGGGTTGAAGGCTTTCTTAAGCTTCGCTGGCTCACTCCTGTTGCTTCAGGTTACGGCCATCCAAGCCTGGTCCAACGCGACTTGGCTGTCTTCAACTCAAAGATTTGCATTGGGCGTCAGTCTTCAGGAGCCTGGAAGCTGACTGCAGGCAGGAATGCACAGCAATACATAAGTGACTGGTTGGTCTGTACATAGCTTTGCGTATCCCTAAGTACAGACACAGACGGACTCTAGAACACAGAGCGAGATTTCCTGCCGCACAGCTTTTGTGGCCGTGGGTGTGATGCGTTGTAGTCATGTGGGCTTGCAACATCCGGCGTGTGACACATTGGGAGCTCTTTGCTACTTGTAATACGTGGAAGTGCAAGCAGCCCTTTATACCAGCCTTGAGGCATACCAAAAACACTGTGATCGAAAACGACAAAACGTTTGAAGAGGAGATGTGCTTATGTATGCTTCCTGCCATGAATCGAATCTCGCGGGAGGTTAACTTCATTGTCTCAAGGATCGCAGCTTTGCTCAGCCCAGGAGACAGTTTGTAGCAGTGACTCGAACCGGCTGACGTCATCCATGACGCGTCTCGTTCTCCTGGCGGCGATTGTGATTCTTGCCCTCATGGCATCGCCCAGGCCATCTCCTCAGTTTCCAGGAGCATTCGCCACCACAGCCTCGACTTGCCAGAAGTGCAAGAGTCAACAGGCAAAGGGCATTCTTCCAAGGCGTTCTATGCTATCCGGATCGGCTATGCTTGGGCTTGTTGTTCGGCCTGAATCAGTGTCAGCTCAGGGTCAGGAGATACTTCGCGTTAAACCAAATTTGTTCGGCCCGCCAGCAATCGAAGCAGTTGGCTGGCTCCTCGAAGCAACAACATCAGTCTCGGGGCTTGCCGACACCCTGCAACAGATTGCTCTTGTCGCTGCTTTCAGCCAGATGAGCAGCGATGTGCGAAAGCAATGGGGAAAAGTTGCAGATCTTCAGGATAACTTGAGCGTGGCTATGCAGAACTCGGAAATGGAGTTGACGAGCAAGATGAGGCTCGCAGGCCGAAAAGCACGTGCGGCTTTGAAATTGGTGGCCGGAAGAGAGATGAAGTCCAGTGTGTTCGATACGTGGCCTGTCCTGCTCCGCACATGGGATGCAGATGTCAAGGCAAGCAAGGAACTGGTCGACAGATATGTGCAAGAGCTCCTGGTCATCAACTCTCAGCTGCGACAGGTGCAGAGCGACATACCGCTGGTCCTTGGCGACAACGGCGCCAGTGAGAACATAAGCTTTGTCCAAAAGAGCATTGACAAACTTGAGACGCAGCGAAGGACATTTGTAGGGCTTGCGGAAGAGGCTGACTTGGCAGAATGGGAGTTGTCCCTGACCGAGCCAACAGAATCGTCCGTCTTAGAGCCGCTGCTTAAGAACATGGTGCTTCAAGTGGATGCAGTGGGCAGACCTGCCGGAGATCCTGGAGAAAGTAAGGAGCGTGCATATTTTCGTGAGGATGTTGGTTCCTTTGAATGCCTACACGGCGACTACCCGCTCTTGGGCACGGATGGCTACTGCTACAAGTGCAGGATCAACGAAGTCTGGTTGGGCTCCTATCTGATTGGAAGGAATAAGAAGACATGCTCCAACTGCATCTATACGGACTACAACTTCAGGTGTGGACGCAGTTGTTCACGTGTCCCTTGTGAAGAGTTGACCGCAACTTGTGAAGAGCTGCCTGATTCACCTTTAATTATATGCTGAATGCTACAATTTTGCGTAGTTCGCACATGCAGTTGTGGACCAGTTTCGTGCTGGGCAAACTGGGACTTTCTGCGGAAAATAGCACTCCGGGCTTCCATGTCTCAAGACTGTGGTGTAACGCAATGCTAGGAAACTCTGCAGAACTGAACTGTTGGTCGACACAAGAGTGTGTAGTCATGTCTTGAACCTCCATGGGCTCGACAGTTTGCATGACTAGGCGGTTTACTCTCACAAGCATCAGCAATCATGTCCTATGCAAGCTTGCAATCTTCCGCGTTATTTCAGCATCCATTAGGAAGACGGAATCCTTCTTGGTGCGCTTCTGTGCCTACCAGAGTTTTGGGTCTGGCGGCCGTGTGGGTAGCACCACATTTGCTTTGACAGAAGCCCATCCTTTCTTGCAGCCAGTCTAGATTCAAGCTTCAAGGAGCACTATAATTAAGCGATGCTATGAAAATATCAGGGCTTCTGTCCTATAAGGGTTCGAGAACTCTGCACATGCTCTCAAGGGCTAGTTTAGGGCTTATGTAGGCTACTCGCTCGCAACGCATGTTTGCCAAACATCGGCAAGTGTGACAGACCACACGCTGAGTCTGATAGGGTTGTTCAGGCAATGTGCGATGCGCGGTTGAAGGATTCCCGGTACGTTGCAATGGCGAGGCTTCAGTTTAGATCTCATGAGCAACCTCAAAACCTTCAACTGAAGGTCGGGGGATGGTCGACCTTCAACATCAAGCTCCCTGGATGCAATTAAAAGGTGGGAGGCTGAACAGTGGGTTAAGTGTAGGACTACTTTTCGGTCTTAGGATGCTGCTGCCGGAAGCACAAACCGGGCAGAAAGATTTAATTGAACGTTTTGTAACTCGAGGGTGCGCAGCCGTCAAGGAATTGAAAAGCCAACCCGAACGCAGCAAATATTGGGGCTTTCGGACGGCTTCGAGTTGTGGATTCCCTTGGAGTGGTCTTTCAGCAGGGGACATTCAGGCAAGGTAGATTTCTCCGACTTTGAAGTCTTAGGCTTTAGTAGTGTCGAGAGATGTGGTGTGCCATGATAGTCATGTACTGAAACACAAGAACCAGCAGGGCATAGGGCTTATGTTGTTCTTGCAGTCTGCTGATATTTTCCTTAACAAGTACATTTGTGTCATATTACCCTGAACTCGGCTGCAGAGGTTTCTGACGTGGCTGGCGCCGGAGAGCCGCTTGCATTGCAACATCGCAGATGGCACGCTCCACGAAGCCCAAGCCATGACCTGTAGAGTCTATGCACTCCAAGTCACTAAGCTGAAGCCCAGGATCTTCAACACTTCCCCGATGATCCACCGTCCATGCTGTGCAATTGGTATCATGACACATCATGCTGCTGTGAGTCGACTAGGGGGCTGAGGGGTCCTCGCCGTTTTTTTTGGTTTTAGCATTTCCCAGGCTAGGGTCCATGACTTGACATTCGGTATTGCAACTTGAGATCCCGAAGCAATCCATTGCAAAACCTATTGCAGTAGATGGTGCCCCTAGGACTATAAGGCTGGCTCGAAGGCAGGGTTCTGTCCTGGTGTTGAACGTTAAACCCTAAACCCTAAACCCTGAACCCTAAACCCTTAACCCTAAACCCTAAACCCTAGACCGCAGACCTGGATGATGATTTCCAAAGTGTCCCAGTTTGTATCGCTTTGTGTCTTCGTAAGAAGCCGCGCGAATGTCAACTGATCGAACGGACCTTGGGCTGCGATCTCCATGTGTGAGTGTACCCTAACCCCATGGTACCTAGTATATAGGGCCCTAGGGGCTCTAGTACCCTATATAGTAGGTACCGGGGGGGTTAGGGGTAGGTTTGGGCCAAAGTTTGGGCATGCAGCTCCGGCATGGCAGATCGATGTTTGGTACTTGCGGCAAAGGGATTGGGGTTCGGACTTGGGGGGGGTGCAGATGTCAACACTTGGGATATACATGCAAGGGGTTGGGGGCTGGTAGTCGATAGTGTCGCGAGTTAGACAGCTTTCTTTGCCAACTTCCAACCATATTCCGCAGCCTCCATGCACACCTGCACGGATAAGCTCATGAGGTCACGGCAACTGCCGCCTTTGCCGTACCTTCATGGCCACTCGACCGAGGGTCACGCATTTACAGTTTCGGGTTCGGGTTTTAGAGCGTGAGGCTTAGAGTTAGGATTAGAGGTTGAAGTTTCGGATTCGGGTCGATTTGTGTTCTGCCCGATGCCCAACAGAAGAGGATGGTAACAGAGTCTATAGGTATACTGTGGATATCGGCACTCGCCTCGGGCAATGCTGCACTCTGCCAATCAGCCTGCAAAGACCAGAACGTACTCTCACGAGCGTGATCAGGAGAAGTATGTGCCTGTCGTGGCGCTGCTCTTGCTGCTGAGTCTGCTGCCGTGCCCCGCAAAGCAAGAAAGCAAGTCTTATGGTTGATGTGTAGTTAGAACTCAGGAATTAGCAACCCGCTCTGTGTGTGCGCGTGCAGATCTGAAAGTGGGATGCAGAGTTGACTCTTTATGAGATTCGACTCTGGCCTTCAACCGACAGGCTTTGTAACTGCAGAAGCCAACAAGAAGGTGTGGGCTTTTGGCCTTGCGCACCGCCAAACCCTAAACCCCGAAACCTTACTGTAGATCCTAACTATCTGCAAGCCCTAACATAACCTAGTCCAAAAGGGTCTGTGACGAAAAGCAGTATCAGACCCGATTTCGCGAGCCGTCGCGCCAGGTACGTCTTTGAGCTGATTTCCTTCCGGAGCTTCGCTTGCAATGGATGCGAACGAAGAGCTACCATGAACACGCTTGGAGTACAGCCTTCTACGAATCATGCACATAAGAAACAGACTACGAAGAACAAGCGCAAGCACTCTGACAATGCCGCTATCCTACTAACAATATACTCAATTGTTGCTGTTAGTTTGGTCATGCTAAGTCTTACCTAGACCCCAAAATTATGTAAAATAATAGCCTTTTGCGGGTCTTGGGCCATTATTTTACCATCTTTGGGGGGTTTAGGTACTTCTTATTGGAAGACCCTAAACCCTAAACCCTAAACCCTAAACCCTAAACCCTAAACCCTAAACCCTAAACCCTAAACCCTAAACTCACTTCTTATTGGAAGAAGCCTTGGTGTTCGTATTGCGGGTCTGAAACACGCAAGAAGCCCCGGAGCTGCCATGCCTGGGTTGCAAGCACTTCACTGGGTGTGGAGGTCTGAGACGAAGGGTTATAGGGTTTAGGGTTTAGGGTTTAGGGTTTAGGGTTTAGGGTATAACCTTTACTTAAAGGATCATGGGACTTAGCAAGTCGGGTTATATCTAAGGTAACTATACTTATAACCCTAATTCAAGGACTTATAACCTTACTTACTAAGTCCCATGATCCTCCACGTAGGGCAGGATCACAGCTTGTCCGTGACAACATGTTGCCAACATGCGCAAGCAAGGCCTCGAACAGCAATATACTTCATGATGGCAGGTAGCCAACACGGCTGCGAATTATAGAGGGTTTATAGGGCCAGGGTTTACGGGCCATAGGCCTTCGGGGCCCAGCCATTCGAAAGAACGGCCCGAAATCTTGTACCCAGAGACCTACACCGATATGGGAGTTTCAGAAAATTAGGGGTTCCTTATTTTGGGGTCCTTATAATAGGGATCCTATTAATTAGGGTACTATATGAGGGTCCCCCTATTTTCGGTAACCCCCTTATTCCTCAGCCGCGAGGTACGAGCGCTACAAGGTGAAGTCCGAACAACACCGGATCGTCTTGAATCGATCCTTGGCGAAGAGAGCGGTTCAGGGTTCGGGGCCTGGTGGGTTTAGGGTTTAGGGTTCAGGGTTCGGGGCTTTAGGGATGTAGGTATCTAGTCTTGATTGGGTTGCCGGTTTTTGGCGAAAAGCACTTCAGGGTTCGGGGCTTTAGGGATGAAGGTGTGGGGTCCGGATTGGGTTGCCGATGGGGTGACGTGATAGTTCGGGCTTCTTCCCTAAACCCTAAACCCTAAACCCTAAACCCTAAACCCTAAACCCGATACCGACACCTTCAGTCTGGAGTCCACAACGTTTGAGCCCAGACCCCTCAAAGCCTAGGAGCTTCCGCAGCCTTGAGCCTTAAACTACCCTAAACCCGAAGAAGCCCTGAAGCCTCGACGCCAATAACCATCAACTGAGCTTCAACCCTCTAAGCCCTAAGCCCTAAGCTTCAAGGGTACTTCGGCTACCTCATGGCGACGCTCTATGCCACTCGGTCAATCCATCGCAGGGCTAAGAAGTCCTGGGGCCGTGCAGCTTCGGGGATGCAGGATATTATAGGGTTTGAGTTTCTATTCGGGCAGGCAGCCAGGAAGTTCGTCAGATCTTGCTCCTTTCGACCCTTGTCCGTCCTGTACTTGTCTGGCAGTGCTCCAGAAAGAAGCGGCTGTGCCAGCTGGCAAGGTTGCCGTGGTCATCGGATCCGTGTGGAACACCTTTGACTCTCGTCAGGAAGAGAATGCTCGGAAGGTACTTCTGGTAGCTGAGGGTCGAGCGCCCTTTGTCTCTGTCTTTGTAGCGGGAGGGTCCGGGTCTTGAGTACACGGGTTTGGTTAGGGTTTAGGGTTTGGGGTTCTCAAGTTATGATCTTGTCGCCCACTTGTAGATCCTCGGTAGTGTTCAACAAAAGAGAACGTAAATCTGGCAACTCTCCGCATAGTGTCAGCCGTGATCTTCCTGCAGCTTGCTCTCGTAGTTTTGAACAGTTTTGTAGGCGTGGCAAAGATGTCTGATGCAGTCTTGGCACACCGAACGATGGCAAGTACAGTAAACCTTGTCAGGCCTAGGTGAAGAAAGAGGGCTGGATTTCCCCAAACCCAAGCCACTAGACCCCTAAACCCTAAACCCTAGACAAAGTCAATAGTCTTCATGCAGTGCTCCTGGAGAGAAGTTCTAAGGTATAACCCACGGGCCCCTAGTATGGGCCCTTAACCTAATATACCTACTACATACCCTATATATAGCCTTAAGGGACCCTAGAATCCCCTAAGGCCCCATGTTAGGGGCCCCTGGGTTCAACTCGGACCCAAGGAGCTGATCTTGAAGGAGCCGCCCAAGGCCAGGCGGAGTTCGGGACAGTTCGGTCGGGCTCTTGCAGATGTAGGGCTCCATGAGAGTTTCCGAAAATTAGGGGTACCCTATTTTGGGGGGGTCCTTATATTGAGGATCCTATTATTTAGGGTACTATATTAGGGTCCCCTATTTTCAGACACCCCTACATGGACTTTAGGGCTAATTATAGGGGCTCCTTGCCATAATGAAGCCAATGTTCATTGTCATAGAATTCGCAGGCGCTATAAAATCCGGAAAGATTGTTTCATCCGGCTGAGTAGATGAGGGTTCAGGGTCTAGAAGGGGCGAGCGTAGCACCTGGCCTGATAGGTTTGCAAAAATACCGAAAAGCCCTAAACCGCAAACCCTAAACCCGAAAAGCACTGCCTTAAATTCTAAACCTGAATCCACTGACGTAGGGGCTTTAGGGATTCGTCCTTGAGAATTCTATAGGAGGTCCTGTTTTAGTATTTACGGTTCATGGTTTAGGGTTTAGGTCCTAAGCCCAAGACTCAAGCCTTAAACCCACAGGCACTCCTTGCGAAGTCCCGATTGCTGCAAGGCTCTCGGTTTGGTCCGCCGAGAAGTACCGCGAGTGGCGGCACCACGGCGGCACCAACGTTTAGGGTTCAGGGTTTGGGGGTTTAGGGTTTAGGGTTTAGTTTAGGTTCGGGTGCTCGAACCCTGAGGGAGGTCTTGCAGTAGACCGCGCTTCCGACTCCTGACGCTTCTGTTCCGCCTCTACATGCAACTTAGCGATTCATCAATCCCGGTCCCTTTAGACCCTCCGATCCGATGTAACTCTTCTACGAAGTTCACGAGTCGTTTCCCGGATGTGGGCTCAGCCCTTCCTGTCAGGCCGGTCGAAACCGGATAGAGGGTAGAACGTGTCGGTGGGTCTAGTATGAGGTCGAAGGGTTTAAAGGGATCAGCTCAGGGCTTCTGAGTTTGGGGGCTTTGGTGGAGGGTCGGGCGGGGGGCTTCGATTTTGGGAAGTGGGGGTGCTTGGGTGTTCAGAGATTTACAGATTCCGGGCTCTCCAGCACTCGCTACAAGCTACCCCTGCCAGGTTGTAATACTGTGAAAGAAATGTTTTTGCTTTTGTTTTTTTCTGGTTCTTGCATTCGGCCTTTGCATGTTTTCAGCACCAGAGCTTGTCTTTTCATGACCCTTAAGCCCCTCAACACTCTTCTTGCATGGTGCTCACTAGCAACCACTACACATGGGCGTTTCGCTGCTGAGATAGGAGCTTCAGAAAGCAAGGGACCCTGATGTAGACCTATGTACATAGTATATAGGACCTTAGTAGGATCCTTGCTGGTAAAGACCCCTACAATAAGAAGTAGGGGCCCCTCCCTCCGGGCTGCGAGATCTACTTCATCACCTTTGTCCTGGCGCGCGTGGGGATCAGTCTGCCTATTCTGCTCTTCTATCCCGGATTGCCTCTCCGGCTGCAGTTTCTCCTTTGGAAGTTTTGGACCTTCGGATTTGGATTTTGTTTGCAGGATTTGAGGTTTGCATCGCATCCCTAGATCAGCTGCACTCACTCCCCCACAAGCTCCTCACATGTATGTGGCGTTTTTCAGCACAGCCTATCAACACTGTGGCACAACGTGGCAAAAGGTGAAAAGTGGATTTCAGTTCCAGTTCAGACCCCGTATCCCAAAGCCTTCCGGCCCTTGTCGTCATGCGGCTCGTCGTCTTCGTCGTCGCAGGTACCCCTAACCCCCCAGGTACATACTATATATAGGGCCCTAGAGGCTCTAGTTCCCTACATAGTAGGTACCTGGGGGGTTAGGGTACTACAACGATCCATTTAGTAGTAGACGCAGCGGCTGAACCCTCAAAGCCGAATCCCGAAGCTCCCCAACAAACTCTCAAACTTATGAGCCTTGCAAGCCGGAGCCCAAATCCTGAAAGCGGCCACCCCAAACCTCCCATGTTCACCCGCCCATCTAAACCCTAAACCCTAAACCCTAAACCCTAAACCCTAAACCCTCGACTCGAAAAACGAGTATGCCAGCAGGTTCAAGGGGCCGGTGCACTGCTACTTCGCGACCGACGCGTCCGATGCTGCCATGGCCCTCTGGCCGAATTGCACAGGACCTCATATAATATATATATACATATATATATATATCTATATATATACATATATATATATATATTATATTATATATTATATATATATACATATGTATTGTATTATATATATATATATGTACGTGTCTGTGTGTGTATACACAAATTTACATATAATTAACATATTACATTGTACATTATGCTATATTCGATGTGTGTGTGTGTGTATGTATATATATATATATATAGTTATTGTATGTCATACCAAGTATTGTACTATATCAGACTATATGCTGTTTGATGCCAGTGATTAATATACTATTCAGTACAGATGATATCATGACCTGCAAATTAGCCTATAACCCTTAAGCTCAAGGTTCCCTGACGCCTGCTGAGGTGCTCAACGGTTTGGCGGACTAGCCTGGTGATATAGGGGCCTAAATAATTGGTAGCAGGCGCACAGGTTGCCCTGTGGGCGTGTGCGTTTTAGGATTCATAATGGGGGGGGGG